CCCCCGCCACCCCCGCCACTCGTGCTGGGAACGCCATCTCAGTGACAGCTGGCATGGACCGCAAGGTCGTGCTGTGGAACCTCCGACTAGAGAAAGCAGCAAAAAACCTCGCACCAAAGAAGGTATCGGTCGTACAAACCAGTTTGTAGAGGTAGAAAGGTTTCGGATACGGAATGGTACAAAGCAGATACGCATGATGCTCGCTCTACTTCGGTAGTAACTCAACACATACGATATATCCCTGTTCGCCTGACAGGCTTGATGCTGCTCTCCAACCTAGTTAAGCGCAGAAGGGAAACCGTGCTCAAGGTAGCTACACGTAGGTTTGCGGCATCATCAGTTCAAATAACGTGTTCCAAAAACGCGGCACAAGCCTTGCATGACCCCCCGTACGCGTCGGTGCCGCTCTTGACGAATGATACCCTCCTTGTCCTCATCGATGCCGCTGTACGCGCTGGGCCGCCGTTCGTTTTGGGTTGGGTTTGCTCAGCTGTCCGTGTTAGTCGGACACTACCACGGCGTCCTGTCGCTCGCCTACTCGAGCGAGCATGACCTCATCCTGTCGGCGGGGTTCGACTTCGACGCCAGGTGCTGGGACCGCAGCACCAGCCACCTGCACATGAAGCTCGTGGGACACCGCCACTCCCTCATCGGCGTCGTCATCGTGGAGCACGAGACGCAGCGCGCCGTCACCGGGGACGAGAGCGGGGCCTTCCGCGTCTGGGACATCCAGCGGGGGCACTCCGACCACGGCACGTGCCTCCAGTCCTTCTCCCTCCGAAACGCGCGAGTTTCACCCCGGACGATGGCCGTCGTGTGGAAGGAGGGCCTCGTCGTGGCCGGGAGCAAGATGCACGTGTTTCGGGCGGCGCCCACCCCCAAGGTTGAGGCATCCCCGCTCGGCGCCTGGTTCTCCTCCTACACCGGCGAGCTGTGCGTCGTGCTTCGGGAGGCGGTCTGGTTCGACGCGGCGACTGGGAACCCCAAGAGGCGGACGTTCGGGCCGACCCACGGCCGCGAGATCACGGCCTTCTGCATGGACGCGCGGCATAAGAAGGCGGTGGTGGGCGACCAGCGAGGCGGGCTGCGCGTGTACGACGGCGTCACGGGCAGGTGGGTAATGTCGGCCAACCCCCACCGCTCGGAGGTCTCGGCGCTGCTCTTTGTCGAGGAAGACAACGCTTTCATCAGCGCCGGGTGGGACGGGATGATTCAGGTGCACGACGCGCGGATCCAGTCCTTCTCCGCGACCCGCTGGAAGGCGAATCGGAGACAGGAAGAGGGGGAGCAGGAGCCCGTCGGCCACCGGTGCGCGTTCACGCTAAGGTCCGTCGTGAACGCCCACGAGGGAAACATCACGCTCATGGGGGCGTCCGCGCGACTCGGACTGATAGCGACGGCGTCGAGCGACCTCACTGTGCGGGTAAGGCAGTCAGCAGTCAGTCTGCTAGTCTGCTGTCGTCGCGGCCGTAGAACGCTCGGAACCATTCGCCAATATTTACCGCTGAAGTCTTGACGTAAGTTTGGTTTTTCTCTATCCATTAAACTCAATTGTGTTTTGACTGTACTTGATCTCCAGAGTTTTCTCTCTTGGTCCAGTCTTTCGCGTTTTCCTCGTGCGGAAAAAGTTACAGCTTGTGTTTGCAATGGGTAGGCTCTTGAGATATCAAACATTGGTATCAGAACAAGGACCACGTAGAGGCTACGTGATCAATCAACTGCAGTGAGGTCGAACCAAACGACCCGCATTCGTCGACATGCAAATTCAAAGGCCGCGCTGGGCGCCACACGCTCCTCATACACGAAGCACGCTTGTACGTTCTTCCCGCCCCTCCGTCGCACGCCTCATGTTTCGTTCACCGTTCGCTTTTATCGTTGGACCTACTGCCACCTGCATTTTCAGCTGTGGGACTACGGGCTGCTCCGGCTGGAGGAGGTCATTGTGGCGCACAGACAGGAAATCACGTGCGTACGCTTCCTCGACCCACTCCCCTGCTTAGCGACGGCAGATATGACGGGGAAAGTCCTCATCTGGGCCACACGCCCCCACCCAAAAGGCGGAGCGCTGCTGTTGATGGTACGAAACACCGTCATCACGGCAGGGGACACCGCGCCCAAGGCTGCAGGCGGCGGCGGCGGCGATGAAAGGCGGGCCCGGCAGGTGCTGCCGACCCCGGTCACTTGCATGGCGTTCCGCCACCACACAGCTGCCGATAGCGATCCCGCTGACATCGCCGCCGCGAAGAAGCCGGTGGTGGCCAGAGGAAAGGAAAGCACATCAGTTCCGGACTGTGGGGACAAAGAAGGGTCGGACAAACAAGGGTCGATCCGACAGGGACCGCAACCGCTGCCGGGGCAAGGAGGAGGAACACCGCCGACCACGGAAATCAACATGCCTACGACGGCAACGCCGTGGGAGGTCGGCAGCATACTCTTCACGGGCGACGAGCTCGGATCGATCAAGATTTGGGACCTGACGGCTGTCCTCCTCGACAAGCTCGGGCCGGCAGCGTGCGACGTCGACGGCACGGGGGACAAGGCCGCTGTTCCCCCGTCGTCGTTCGGCGCGGCGTCCCACCACTTCGTTCACTATCGGCAGGGACCCCTCGACGGCGTGGGGCTGCACACCGCCGTGAGATTCAGAGAGCTGATCGACATCGGGAGGGTGTTGCGCCGGGGGGACCACTTGCAAAGCGAGAAGCTGGAGCCAGACGGTAGCAGAGACGCCCGGCTCCGTCGAGCAGGTCTTGACGACGAGAGCGGTAGCTTCCGTGGCGGGAGAGTGAGGGACAGGCGCCCCCCTCCAGCCGAAGCGAAATCGTCCGCTGACAGCGGCAGCCTGAGCACCGGTAGCATCGCCGGCAACTCTCGCGATTGCTCTCCGACCGCCAGACGCAAGCAAGGGCTTCTTCTCGGCGTGGATCGCAAGCCCAGGGGACGGGGGGCAATGGGGGCCTCAAACCCGTCCTTGTCGTCTTCGTTATCGTCGAGAAGCGTGCCCGGTGCTTACGACAGCCAGCGCCGGCCGGCCGGGCCGAAAGAGCAGGCGGAGGCATCCCTCAACGCTAGGCCCGACGACATTGACCCCGTATTTTCGTGGAAGGGTCACGATGACAGCATCACCTCCATGCAGATAGTCTCCACCCCTCCCTGTGTCCTCACCGGCTCGCTCGACAGCTCGGCGCGCCTCTTCTCCTTGGGTGGCGTCCTGCTCGGGGTCATGGCGGAGAGGAAAAACGTCGCGGGGGCGGCGGCGCGCCCTTGGCGCTTCGAACCTCCGCCGAACGGGCGAAACGCCGAAGCGAGCGCACGAGCTACGACCCTTGAACAGAGGCTGAAAGCCGTTCGCCAAGAAGAACGCCAACCGGTGCCTGCGGCTGTTGGTTGTGGTCGTCCGAGGAGCTCGGAGCCGCCAACATACCGATGCGGCGACCTGTCGAGCCCCCTGTCCAAGGCTCCAGCCAACGGCTCATTGCTCGGGGTGACTTCTACGGCCTCCGACCGCGGCCCGACGGGGCCAACACGGAAGGCCAGAACGGACACGACGCCGACATCACCTGGTGATCCCCTCAGCAAGGCACCAACAGAGAAAGGGAGATCTGTTGCCGTCGAAACCAAGGACTTGTTGCGAACGCAGTCGGCGATCTCCGCCGCGTGTTTGTCAAGGATCGAGGAGCTCACGCAGATGCGAGTGGCGACGACGATGGCCGCAGACTCCGACGCACGAAGCGAGAGCCTGCAAGCGGCGGAGGAGGACATCAAGGAGCGGCTCTTGAGCGAAGCTCAAGAGGGGTGGAAGCACCAACTCCGGGGGGGCGCTGGTCAGTCGCGGCCGCCTTCTGCCGCTAGCAGGCAAGGACGCCACGGCTACCACCACAACGCACGGCCGTCGCGAGGGGATTCGGAGCCACCACTCTCGCCCGCGCAGAAGGTGCCACCGAACCTGAGTGCCGAACAGGAGAGGAAGCACGCCAAGCGAACGCGATCTGCGTTGCAGTTCTTGTCCGATAGCATCACCCGCACACACAGCGGCACAGGTACTGGGACGGCTTTCCTGTCGCCCTCAGAATTCCAACCGCAGGAGATCGAGGCGGTAGAGGGCCCGCGGGTGACCGGACGTACTGTCCGTTGCGGCGTCAGGCCGTTCACGTCCCCTGGGCCACGACGGGAGGATCTAACCGAGAAGGGTAAGGTGGTGACGCGCGGCGATTCCGCTACGACTGCGTTGTCGGAGTCAAAGGCGATGTCCCCCGCGTCAAAACTCAGGCAAAGCGTGATGGCTGTGGCACCATGCCTTGCCCTGCGGTTGGGGGCGCCAAGCAACACAGTGCCCCCCCTCCGTCAAACACGTGAAGACGGGGTAGAAGGAGAAGGTGAACGAGAGGCTAACGGAGAGAGCCGAATCGCCGGGCAAGCAGGAAAACGTCAAGGCATGCCTCTGACCCAAAGGTCGGCCATGCCCTTGACTCAGAGATCAACACCGAACGTGCTTCCCACTCAAAGGTCGCTTCTTAATCTCGCTTCGGCTAGGTCGAACATTTCGAACAGATCGAACTTGTCAACCAGACCCACCGTCTCGACGAAAGCCGCTGTCGCCAAGAGAATGGCCGCTGATCGCCGACGCCGGCGCATGGATTACATACTGGACGGCGTTCGCCGGATGGGGCAGCGCGAGGGGATGGTTGCCCAGTTGCCAACTTCCTCCCCGCGGGCGGGAGAGGAGGAGGAGGAGGAGGAGGAGGAGGAGGAGGAGGAGGAGAAGCAGACGAAGGGGGGGTGGGGTTCCGCCGATTGCGACGGCAGGGGAACCGGAACCGTCGTTATATCTACCCGCGTCAAGGAGGTGCTATCTAGGTTCGAACGGTCAGTCAACGACAGTGATTGCCGTGACAGCTTGCCCGACGACGAAGCCGACCAGAAGGTCAGGGTCATGCGCCGACAGCTCGACGCCCGCATCGCGGCCAGGCAGGAAGCGATCAGGCACAACGAGAGGTACCGACGGGCTCAGAGGTACGACTTGGTAACCTTGCAGGAGACTCAGCAGCGGCGGCACGAGGCGATGGTGGGGCTGACCGGGCCCAGCGGGGAGCGCTTCGGCCCGTACACCCTCGACGACGTCCTCGAGTTCCAGGTGTTCGCCAACCACCTGAACGCACAGGGTGCCGAGCACTTCACCGTCCGGAGCCTGGTTGAAAACCCCGACATTCAAGCGGATCCGTATTCTCACGCCCTGCTGCAGGAACTCGCGAGATCGCGGGTGCTTCAATGGAACCGGCCTCTGTCGTTGGAGGACCTCATGCAGGTGTGTGCGGAGTCGAAAATTTCGAGGGGGTTGCCTTTTTTTGTCACGTGGGTGCTGCCGATACTGTTGTGGTGTTCATGGTTGTCATGCTCTGTTGTCGTCAGGAATGCAAAGGCGTTGCCAGCGGGGCAGCGTGGAAATTAGTACCGCGGGTGGGGGGTCGACATCTGGCAGATCAATCCATAGCTTGCGTTCATGAGTCCAGCTCTGTAAGAACGTGCCACGGGTGCTCAACGTCGCGCTTCTAGCAGTCGCCAAAAGAGGTTCCGGTCGGACAAGTAGCAGTGGTACGGGTCACCGGCATGCTCGTGCTGAGGAACAGACTCAATAGGACGCATCGCTTCAAACGCATCAGATCGAATTTTGGTCTAGAGGCACTTCTCAAACATGAGTGAACCATACCGCAGCCCGTCCCCACCATTCTCCTTCCCCTCACCCACCTCCGTGCCCACCTCGTTCCTCTCCTACAGTTGGCTTTCCATTTTGCAAAGCACGACGAGGCCAAACGGATGGTAGCCATCATGGACATCGCTGTACTTCTGGAGCGACTGCGAGACGCGTTCTTGGCCGACAAGAATTCCTTGGTGGGAAAAAACGAGTCGTTGCCTCTCCATTTCATCAACGACATCGACATGGCCTTCCGGGTATGTATAACACATTCCCTCCGGCAATTTCACAGTCGAACGAGCCCGACACACTAACATCGTCGTTTCCCGGCCGAGCGATACAACACTGACCCTTTGAGCAAAGACACCATCACTTCCACTACACAGAGACGCCGCCGTTTTCTCCTCCTACCCTATCGCTTTGCCACTCCCTCTGGATGTCGCATCGGATTATCGTTTTGGTTTGGGCACACGCAGGCGACGAGTGCCGAGGCGTGCGGCACCTGTACCATGAAAGAGCTTCAAGTTGTCATGGCCCGAGTAGGTTCAGACCTGTTCTCGTGTGGACACGAGGAGTTGGACCGCTTGGCTGCGCAGTGCGGTGTGGTGGACGGGTGCGTCAATACTTGCGAGAGACCAGTTTGTATGAACACGTCCGGTAACAACGAATGAATGAGATGTGATGCGAAGGGAAAAACATTGTGGGGCCAAAACACGGGCAGGCTGAGGATGCGGAGATCGCTTTCAACGTGGAACCGTCTAAATCAAGCTCCTTCTTGTGCGAATCCCTGGCTCTGTTTTCTGTGTCAAAGTTGCTTTGGTACATTAGCGAAACGGTGTTCTCCACCAATTATATTCATGTCCACACTGGATCGGCGACCTTGGTAAGTGTGTCACGGCATCATGCCTCTAACCCGTGGTGCTCCTACCCTTGATTTGTCTCTTCACACCGCTGACGTTCGTCCCCGCGCGCACGCGCCGCCGCCCCCGAGCAGGCACAAGGAGCTGACGGCCGACGATTTTATCGCCATCATCGCCAAGCTAGTTTCGCTCCAGACTACCAACACGAAGGCGGCGGGTACCCATCCAAGGGAGACTAAAACCACGTAATTGAAACATTGAACATGTTGTAGTTTGTCTAGAGATATCAAAGTGGCAGTGACCGCACGTGGGTCGCCGGCGTCGCTCACCAGGTGCGTGTGGTTCACAACGGTGTGTCCCCCTTGACACCCAGGAAGTCGTCCGTGGTTTGGAACCACGAGATGGACTGCTGGGTCAGACTGTAACTTCAGCTGTGGGCAGTGAGGTGGGGGGCGCAGCGAGACGATCCGTTTGGCTCGCGCCTTTGCAGGTTGCAGTTTTCGGGCGCAGTTTGATGGTCTGGGCATGGCATGTAGCGAGAGGATTGATGTTTAGATGCCAGAGGCTTGAACATCGGGAGAGACCAAAAGTGCAATGAAGTGCACCGCCGTGGCGTGCGTGTGCGGAATTTAGCATTAACGAAGCGGTGGGTTCTCATTCCACGACAACCCTTGAGGTTCCCTTATACAGCAAAGCTGGGTGCCACCAAGCACCGATCAATCGACGCAAACAACTTTTACATTTCACAAAAACACGTGAGTGCAAGACGAGAGGGGGGCTACAAAGCATCGGCGATGAGCGCGCACATAACCCAGCATTACATAGCAACCTCGGGAGTCGTACCGTTCCTAAAACCAAGCCATCGGGAGTTCACTCCTACTGCACAACCGTTCAAGACGTACGACTGAGTCGACGCAACACCAATCCAAGACCCATCCACAACCGAACCGCCGTTGTCTGGTCCCACAGAAACATCACGAAGCACAGACAGACCTGACGGCCTCGACGGCCATGACATCTAGGGCAAGCATGAACAAACCGCCTTCCCGTACCGGCGCCGCTATCCAAGCCGCCAGGCACCTGGGTTCGTGGTAACCGCCACGGTGTAGTGGGTCGTGCACATGAGCTGCGGGTGTGCCAAGCCCTTCCTGTTCACTTCAACATCGCGCAAATTCCTATCCTACATCATCGCCAACGCAACCAAACATTGGGCGACTGATGTCAAACTTGAGCCGGCCCGCCCCGTGTATAAGAGACCCGACCAACTGTTGGCTACAAGTTCACCGTGGGCGGTAATGAAACAAGACGACATTCATGACAAGGCGGTGTAGGCCGGGGGGAGGGTTGAAATTGTGTCCAGCCGACCTCTGGCTCTCTCGCTCCCTCCCCCGCTTCTCCCACACTTGGCCATCGACGCCGCCATCCCATGCGCACGCCGCGAGACGCTGCTGACTACAGCGATACCACCACTACGACCCCCTCCCCTATCCCCTACTCAGCGAGCGTCTACCTGGCGCCACGCGGCGATGGGGCTATCTACAACACGTTCTCAGCGAATTCCGTCCGCCATCTCCGTAAACAAAAACGGACTCTTCGGCCGGAAGCGCGGCAATAGAAGATGCCGAACCTTTTTCTACAGGGCACGGGTAACGTCGTTTATCGCTCTCGGTCACCCCTTGGGCATGTTTTTCGCCGTCGGCGCCGTCCGGTCTCTCCGCTACGTATCTGCTTGCTTTTCCTCGCCTTCGGTTCATCGTCAATAACGGTCCACCCCGGGGGGAGACTACGCCTAGCTTTCCGAGACCTGTTTTGGCCGCCGCGAGGGCCGCCGTGTTCTCCCCGGCCGCCATCGTCGTCGAATTGCCATTGCTCCGCTTCGCTGAGAGGCACGCGCCCGCCGCACGAGCGGGTCTTCAGCCCCGCCCTGCAGCAGTGTCAGCGCACCCCATCGTCAACGTCGAAGAAAGGAGAGAGCGACAAAAACCGGGTGAGCAGCTATCTATGGGCAAAAACCACGCGGGCGGGGGAGCACCGCGGAAGAGATCGCGCGTTGTCGACAGCACCCCAAGGCGTTTCTTTCGTTTTTCGTACAAACAAACCTGTCGGGCGTGTACAGAACTGAGAGTGATTTCGCAGGTGGGCACTCGCTCGGTATTAGTCGACGCCACATTGTCAAAAGCACACACCCGCACGGCGAAAAGTGCGCAGCGTCATCTATAGCTGCCGCGGGCGGGTGACGGGGAGGGTGTGTTACCGATGCGGCCCTTCGTGTTAAGGGGCTTAGGAATAGGACCACCACAACAATTTCAATAGATGCGTCGTCGAACGTTTTGTACACTCGAGAGGGGTGGCGCATCCCCTGCAAAGCCCTCCTAGTAGACCAGCGTGAATGTGTTGCTTGTACTAGTCTAGAACTCCATCGGGGTCAAACAAGGCCAACAAATGGAGGCAAAACTGCCGCATATATTGCCCACCATCGCGGAATACATACTTCTCTCTCCGAATGAACTGAGAAACGAATTGCCGTAAACCTTGGAGTTGATAAGCAGACACGGACATCACAACATCGTGTCCCGACACGCCTCTATGCAAAACACCGCCCAAATAACACTAAAGCTAACATGGGCACTTTTCAAATACCCAACGAGAGACGTACTCGCACTCGCGACTGTATCGAACCTCATGCAACATGTCTTTCAGCAATCGCCGTAGCACCTCAAACACGAACCGATGTCAAGGCCAGGAAACATGCTCCACGTACAGCTCCCGGTAACACTTTCCCTCCCATTTTCCCTGAAAATGTACAGTGTCTCTCCCACCCTCGCATACCACCCTCTCGAGAGATCAAGCCCAACTTCACTCACCTCGCCCGCCGCCGTCTCCCCGCCCGGCGGCACCTCTCCCCTCACCTCTCCCTCTGCCCCCACCCCTGCCTCCGCCCCGCCCCCTTCCGCCCCCCCCCCTGCCCCCGTCCCGCCCGCCTCGCCCGCGGCCACGACCTCTCCCGTCGCCCCGCCCCCTGCCGCCGCCCCTGCCTCCGTCCCGTCCGCCTCGCCCGCGACCGCGACCTCTCCCGCCCATGGCGCGCTCTGTGACGGCGTGGTTTTGCAAAAATAATCCCGCAGAGAGATCGAGGAGTGGGCGTGTGTGAAAAAGAAGCACGCGTGGGAGTACATGTGCGCCTCTCGTCGCAACCGACGTTATACATGGATCGAATCAGACAGAGACAGCTGCCGTTTGAGTATCGGGCCTCTAGGTAAAAAGAACGGATGGCCGTGTCTCAAGTCCTCAACATGCTCTACTTGTACAACCAGCTCGTCCAAAGCTGCTGCCACTACTGCTTTGCAATGCCGAAACAGAATGGAACAGACAGATGGCTCCGGCTGCGGCGGACAAACGGCCGGCAGTCGCGTGCACGAACTGCCGACGTTCCCAAGTGCTGAAGAAACAAATACGCAACACGAAACAGAAGACGTAATTTTTTTAGTCAACTCACTCTCTTTGGAGAGGTCTTCTTCTTGCACCATGTCCAACACCTCCTCTGGAATCGTGACGTACTTGATGCTGTTGCCGCGCACGTACACCTCCACCATCTTCACGAACTTGTCCGCGTCCTATGCATATTATAAAGAGGAGAGGCGTGGGGCGGCGCGAGGTGTAGGGTCAAGACAAGGCAAGTGATGGAATGAGTCGGCACTGCTATGCAAAGTGCAGGAGAGGTCAGGTTCGAAGACACGGCAAGTGATTGGGACGAGTTGAGACTGCTGCGCGACGTGCAAGAGAAACATGAGAGTGCAGAGGACGCTTGAGAGGGAAAAAGCAGGTTCTTGGCGACTTTTGAGAGTGCTTTGTGAGAGGCGACAAGGGGCAAACAACGACAGGACACCGCGGGGCACAGGTTCGGATGCGACAGCCCTCCTTGCACTGTCTTTCCCGTTCCTTTCCTTATTGTCCGCTTTCAGCCGTCGGGGACGTGTCCTCGTGCGCTTCTATGAAGCAAGCAGGTTTAAGAGAGGATGGAGCTCGAAAGAGACGGTACACGCTTCGGGGCACCGTGCCGTCCTTACGGCAACACAAACCAGCAAGGCGCGCCGCTGGCGCCAAACACCGTCCGTCCGTCGTCCCCCCTTACCCTTGAGGTGAAAATAACGTCCTTCAGCTTGATGTTCATCCAGCTGTCGCAGTTGTCGAGTCGCCCGTTGTAGGTGTCGCCGTTCTTCAGCTCCACCAGCATAGGCTGGCCCTGGGCAGTCTTAAGCAACGAGAGCGGAAGCTGCCGTTGCAGCGCGGTGTGTCGGTGGTTCCAAAGTGGCAAGTAACAACGAGGGAGAGAGTGGGGGGAAAGGGAAAGGAATTGCGAAATATTAGGGGAACGACCGCTATAGAGCTCAGCGATCGGATTCGATTGCGCAAACATGAGAGAGTGGATACGCCGACGGGGTATGTACTACTGCTGTACTACATACGGCGTGGGTATAGCGACTGTTGGTGTTAGCTCACAGGCCGGCTGTGTTTGCCCGTAGGTAACATAGCTGTTCGTTTGTGCAACAGGTACATCAGCATACACTGCTGCAGGTGATCACAAGGACCTTGAAACACTGAATGAAGTTGGAGAAGATGCAAAGGTAAGTGGACCTTTCAGAACCTCGCGAGCAACAGGTATAGACTAGCCCCGATGGCCTTGCTAAGAGCAACGAAGGCGGCACGCGCCGATCTTTTGGAGGGGGGTCGAGCAACTTGAGTAGAAGTTGAAAATTTGACGACCAAAGAGCCAAACAGTAAAAAAAGACGCCCGTACGGGAGACACACTCTTGCACGACCGACAACTAAGCACCCTCACCATGTTCGTTGGCGTTGCAGGACTTTGACTTGCTGTCCCGCCCACCTCGGAGGCGGCCAGGGGCTCCGCCGTATCGGAACATGGCATTGTGTGGGAGGTAATGAATCTTAGCCAATGGCTCCCTTGTCCGTCCGCACCCCACCAGCTGGGATCTAGTTGGCTTCTCAAGCCAAGCATCCTTGCAGCCACTACTGGAAGCAGCAGAAGCTGCAGCAGCAGCCCATGAGATCTAATGCCGGGCGTAGGGCCGGAAGGGCGGGAGTCAAAGGGAACAAGCCGAAAAACACATGGCTTGCCTTCTGCGTCTGTGCGGTGAGAAGGAGCTGTGTGATGATGTTCTGTTTACGGCAGGCTGGAGGTTACTATACTACGTTGCGTGAGGACGTGTGACTCTTCGCATGTCGAAGCCGCCCAGGCAGAGAGGGTGGTTGCATTTCTCTGTGGTTTCGCCTTCGATTGAACAGATCAAGAGCCAGCGTATCATAATGCCCTCCCCAGAAAGATGTAGAGGGTCTGATCCACGGCACACAGACATGTCGAAAAGTTCATCTTCTCAATCCGGTTTCTCCGCTCCTCGGCCACTCCGCTCTGTGCCCTCAACCTTCAACCGTGCCAGAGGTAATGCTGTAGTGAACGTATACAAATGCATGTGGCGAATGAAAGCGTCCCCCCCCCCGCTACGCTAGCATTACATCTACGCGCACCCAACCCGAACGGCATTGTCGGTATCGGAATTTGTGGACAAGAGGAGGTCCAGTACATGTGCACACATGGACACGGCACCCGCAACGGTAGATATGGACGCTCCCTCCCCCCTTTCGGGGAGAGTCGGAGGATCGCACCCGTCCGGTGGCCGCACCTTTAGCCCGCCTGATTCGGGAGGGTTGTTGAGAGTGGATCTAACTCTACCACGTGTTGGAACCCCTGGGAAAAGGCACTAAATGTGTAATCTGCGGAAATTTGTTACAACTCGAATCTACTGCTGTTTTGTATATTGTTGTTGGAGCTCTCGTCTTCGCACGCCGAGACTCACGCGTGGGAATACAGGTTGACCAGATCGCAACCTGCAGTTGGTTACACAGTTGGTCAGCACCTGTGCAGCAGTAACAGCAGGAACACTGTAGACGCGGAGATAGTATTGCAAGTACAAGATGTGGCCAACCGCAGAGACGATCTCCCTAGACACACTCGACCAACACCCACACAGTCCGAATGAGACATAAAATTCCCCTGCTGTTCCTTGCCCGGTACAGGCTGCTGGTGTATAGGTGGCGGCGTACCGTTTTGATGCTGTCGTATATCGCCGCGTAAATCATGTGCTCTCTAGAAGAATAGCACAAGGTACCACCACATAACAGAGTCAAGCTCTTGTTACAAGTAAGGAAATATATTCTAGAACCAAGCAAACCACGCGTGAGGCGAACCAAGCATCGCAACGCGGGGGGGGTCCGGGGGGGTGGTTTACCCCCCCGCCCGGCACCCTTGGGTGGACCAAGCAAACCACGCTTCTTAGTGACTTGGGCTGCGGGAGGTGCGTCCCCGGAAACCAAAACGACAACACATCAGCAGCAGCAGAAAATACAACAGAGCTGACACAACAAGCTAGCAGCAGCCATCATACATACACAACTGCCGCCAGGCTGCTGCCAGGCTGCCCGGCTGCAGGCTTCTACTGCTGTAATACAGACGGTTGCTACTGCCATGAGCTAGCACGTAACGGATTGCCACCCATCAAGCAGTGTAGGTTCGTAGCAGCTGTGTGATGGCTGTGTGCTTCGGTTAGGAACCACAGGGCAGCGTGGATCTACCCTCTCCTCCAAGCGTGTACATGGACAGGTACAACACACAGCATACACGCACACATACGGCATCGTCATCACAACACTTCCTGCACGTATCTCTCTCGTTCTCAATTTCTGCTCAAATTCACGCTGTGTCTCTCGGCTCTCAACTCGGACTTGCTCGACTGAATCAAACTGCTGCTGGATTAGGGCACAACTGCATGCCCCGGACTTGAAAAATCTTCAAGCAGGGGGGGGGAGGTGCAACACCTACGGACATATATGTCGCTTCTTTGTGACCTGGTCTGCGGGAGGTGCGTCCCCGTAAAACGAAATGCCTATACAACACTTCAGCAGCAGCAGCAGCAGGCAACACAGCAGCAGCAAGAAACGAACAGCCTGCTACCTTAATAGCCACCAGCCTGCTCGCCTGCATCGCTATTACGAATGGTGTCATGCACCACAGACGCTTCCACGTCACTCTGGCATGGAACGGATTAAAGGACCCACGCACTGCCAGCAGCCAACATGGTAGCGTAGCAGCTTTCAGCAGTAGCACCACCTGTCCAAATGTCAACCCTCTCCTCTAAGCGTGTACATGGATAGGTGTAACCACACACCATAGATAGGCGCACACATAACCTACGGTAAGTGCAGTTGCTGCACGTACGTCTCGCTCTCTGTGTGTATGGCTCTCTCTCTGTCTCTGTCTCTCTTTCTCCTCAAATTCGTGTCATCATCATGCTGTCTCTCTCGACGCGGAAGAATCAAACTGCTGCGGGAGCACGGAAACCAGGCATACCCGCCTTTTATATATTCTTCATGCGTAGGGGGGGG